TATATATATATATATATATATATAACTAGAAATAATAATTATATTAAGAAAACATTTGGACCGTTAGTTACTATTGTTTTTAGAAGGACCAGCTATTTGCATCCATCTGTAAGATTGATGCTTTATATATCTAGACCGCATATTGTAGAAATGTGGTGCAGCCTGCATGAAACAATTTTCCAAAATAAATTAGCAGGATTCGGTAAACCTAAATCGCTGGTCTATGGAGCTGCGATTATGTTTAAGAAAAGGACTAGGTTTCTCTAAGGCATAGGTTTTATGAAAACAAAATAAAGCCTCGCCTCAAATCCTTGTCCCGAAAGTACTTTCGGCAATGGAAATGTCAATAATGGCTCTAAAATCAATTTCCAACACTGATAATAAAATTTGAAACTAAAAAAATGGTACAGATCTTGCAAATATGTGAACACTTACTTTTAAGACAAAATGGATGATCTAGATAATTTGCTATACCAAACAATATTTTTAGAGTTTGAAATCCTAGTTATTTTTTACAACCATAATGTTCAAGCCGAAATGATCGATGTAAAGGTTTTCCAGTGCTTGACTTGTAATTTTCAATCACTTATAAGGTGAGGATTTACTTATTTTGATAGGGTTGCAGCCTTAGCAAACCATTTTCCTTAAGAAAATAGATTGGTGGGTGGGTTGTCTACCCTCAAATCGGCGACTCGGATAAAAAATCATTGGTTTTTAAAACATTGGCATGTGAAAATCAGACTTTGACTAGGGTTATGATTAGTCGCTCCGATTCTCAATCCATATCGGCCATTTTTAATACATTGCTTCTACCATAAAATTTTAGGTGGAATAGAATTTTGAATGAAGTTTCCATCAGTGCACCCAAACATGGTGCTACTAATGATGATTTAAACTACTGTCAATTTAGATCAGAACTAGTCGATTTGAATTAAGAACCGACGAGGCCAATCTGGTTCCAATAAAATATTGGGAGCCAGCCAGACATACCCCAAACTCTGAACTGACCAAAACTGGACCTACTTTATTTTAAAATTTATTTCAATTTTTATCTCAATTTTTTTTTTTTTTAGTTAAAAAAAAAAAATTGGCTGGTTCACTCAGCCGGATAACCGATCCAGATCGTTGATTAGCCAGTCTGTGCCGGTTTTCTAGATTAGAGGTCCATGTTACTGATCTGTAGTTTTAAACCTTGATACTATTCTAATGTTTTGATAGCAAAAACATACACAATAAGAGTGGTATGGATCATTGCAAAAATCAAGAGTACTATATTCCAAGGTTTTCAATATTGGTCGCAAGCAATATTACATGGATCCCGACATGAGTATTAAGTACTATACTTCGACCTAGAATGCTAATAGAGTTGGACATATCCATATCATATTCTTTATAATATTACAGGGAAAATGTCATGTCAGCCCATGGGCGGGTGGAATACTATAAGTACAACGGTCTAGATTGAATATGGGTCGATTTGACAGTAATGATATTATTTCATAATATAATTTTAATATTTTTTATAAATCCAAATCATATGAATTTTGAGATGTTCATTCTTCTCATTAAGGCGCACCTAATAAAAATATTAAAAAAATACTTTGCAAACAATAAATTGACTAAAATACCCTTGAAATATTTCAAGGGTTTTTTTTATTAATTTATTTTTTCTAATTATTTTTTATATTTTTATTAAATTCTCTTATTTCTAAAAAATAAAGGCTTCAAATTTCAAGTAATTTAGATTTGTAAAAAAAAAAAAAACAATTCAAATACGAAATGCAATCATGACTATTGGATCTGCCTAGATTCAATCTAGGCAATTGGGCTTACACTGTAGTTGTCAGCTAGTGGGCTGACCATAAATTCTCCCAATATTGTATTAGGAAATATATATAATACAAATTTTCTTTCCATAAGAGGTAGCAAGGCAAAGAACAAGCCCCAAACTTACTAAGTTCAAACCATAGTTTTAACCCTATGGGACTAATAACTTGGCCACCCTATTAATGGGTGATGTCTGGTGCTTTTTTCATTTTATTTAAATAGAAGCATCGTAGAAACCCTATTTTTGAACTTGGTAAATTTCATTATTTTTCTAGACCCTTAAGACCACACTATTTTAGGAAATCCCTAAGCTATAAAACATCGTAGTCTATAGTCCCCATCCTGTGATCCAGTATCCTAACAGACTCACCATTTTTTGAACTAATAAAAAAAAATAGCAATATCCTGATTTTCAAAAGACTATGATCGATGCCGTCTCTACTGCTATTCTAAGAGAAAGTCTATTCGTATCTAAATAGATCATCCATTAGATTCGATTGATATCATTTATTTACCACATTTTAACAACGAGTTTGTAGTGTTAGATCTGAGGAATCTTCACTCGAAGATCTCCTTGATTTTGTGATGTAATCAAGTATACTTAAAAGAAAAGTTATGGAAAAAACTCCAAAACCAGAAAACACATATCGCGGTGATAGCACCCCCACACCTTAGTCACCACATTGTGGCTTCCATTTCCACGTACACCACCCCATTAACTCCTATACTATTTGAAAAATCAGATGATAGGGGCATGTCTTCCCCATTGAATTATCCAAAAAAAAAAGATATTAAATTCACCAACGATCTTACAAAGATCGAAGCCTTTTTATATCAAACTAGGCAAGAAAAGTTCCAAGGGTCTATAGGAGCCTTGTTCAGTTATATCCGAAATTGTTTATCACAATAGGAATACCTTCGACCTGGGTTACAAAGCTTCAAGACTCAAAACAAAAGAGAAAAAATGCAGTCATTTACTCAGTGTCCTAAAATATTGTCTATCTTACTACATTCTCTCGTTCTCCTAGTCCTACTACTTAGATCAGCTTTAATCTCTGCTCTCTTCTTGTTGAAGT